CTAGTCCAATCCTTAGCAAACTCCCTTTTTAAGACCCTATATTATACTGGCTTAATGTATTGTGTAAACCCAAACAGTGCAGTTTGTAAGTCATGGTTGACTGCTTAACATATGTCAGTTAAATAGACCATGAAATGACTTATTGCAGTGGGTGAACTGGTCCTAGCCAATAAAAAATCAATTTCTGCATAGCAAAATAATTGTGGATAAATGCTTTTAGCATCTTGAAACTGAATGCATTGCATGGATTTTTTTAAAGAATACAAGAACTATTAAGTCCAGCTGGTACTCAAAACAACCTTTAAAATTCACTAGAATGTATTTCCAGTTAACTTAAGTTTGAAATGAAGAAACCTGACAGAGTAAGAAGTACCCAAACAAAAGAGTCTGTGTCATTTAATGTTTCCTTGTATTTATAGATAGACAAATGTTGTTTATGTTACTTATTTTACTATTTATAGTTAACTATACTGTATTTTGTGGAATATATTAAGCTGGTCTTAAATAATAATAATACAGGAAGTACCTTACTATAGGTTGTTAAAATCTGAAAAATTAAAAAGTAAATGTTGAGTAACAGAATGGCCAAGGTATATGTTTGACCATACGTATTTCAATTAAAGTACTCTCAACTCTCTTATTCTCTTTCCATACACATATATACATACATACATACATAATGCATACTTGCATACATAATATGTGTATGTATAGTGTATACATACACTATATATATTGCCATTGTTGGGGAAAAAAATCCAAGACTGCTTTATAGTTGTTCCTTTTTGATATTACTCAAAATATTATACTTCCAACTATGGCTAATTAGACATGTTCTTAGCAAAGTTTTCAGACCTAATTTCTGATTGAATATACTAATACTTATTGCAGCTTAAAACATGCCATTTAATGTCTGGTTCTCATCAGTGAATATGCATATCATTGGATAATCTCTATAGTGTAAGATATAGAATAAGTCACTGTAACATTCAAGTCTTTAACATATGTTATATACAATATAACATAAATATAGCTTGTAAATATATATAACACAATAAATGTATTGTTTATATGATGGCTAACCTTTTTGGTACCAAGTGCCCAAAGCGCATGCGCACGCATCCCCAATAAATATGAAATATAAGAAAAATGAAATATTAATAAGTACATATTCAGAGAGATAACTACAAGCTGCTATAGAACTGAAGTTTTGAAAATATGATGAAGTTATTAAATATATGGGGGTAATATAGTTTTGAATTGATTTTAATTAAAATTAAATGAAAGTAAATCAAATTTTAGTTTGGGTTCTGTCTTTATATATAGCATAGAATTGCACTGCTGGCATAAAATGCCAAAGGCAAAAAAGCCTGTGTCTCATGTATCAGGGTGAAGCCTGAATTGTCTGGCTCAAACCCCACCTATTTTCTGGGCTTCCCAGAAATTCTAGCTTTTTCTCTGGCCATGTGCCAATCAAGAGCACAGATGCCATCCCAGTTTTCTACACAATTAGTTACAGGTACTATTTGCTGCCACTTTCTGTTTTAATGCATGCCAGTCATTCACAAAGTAAGAAATTCTTTATATTTTATTGTCAGATTTGTGATTACAGTATAATGGAAAACCTGATGATTGGTTCTTGCTGTTAACAGTTACAGGCAAAATATTAATCCCCAATGAGCAATTCAAAAGTCAGAAGGACTGTATTACATATTATAAAAGCAAATTGCTGCTATACATAAAACTAAAGGCACTTAAATAAAAAAATATCACCTAAAGCTTCTACCACAACTTTATTTGGTAGCAAATTCTATTCTGGAATAACTACACTTCCAGATCTTCATTCAAAATACCTCCTGAAATCAGAGCTATTTTTTCTTCTATTTTCCCTTTTATCCATTGAATGTCCCAATAGCCCATTATCTTCCTTCAAAATACTTTGCCCCCTCCCTTTTGGGCAAGAAGAAACAATTTTAACCTCTAGGTGGCAACCAGGCCTATATACATGCTTCTTTTCTTAATAATAATATTTGACTCATGGGACATTATGTGTTATGGAAAAATGAGGGCACACAAAGATGTTATCCTATATGATTTATTTGGTCCTGTGGTTCTCAGAGTTACTGTGCTTTCAATACAGCATGGTTCTATTTATCATCATTATTAGGTCGAAAATAATACTGTGTTATACTTTTATCTACCATGGCTTAAAAAAATGCTTGGTTTTGTGTGGTCTTCAGTTGCGGACTTCTGTCTTGGAAGTTTAGATGAGAGCTATTTCATTTCATTCTCCCATGGCTTTCTCACCTGTTGTCCTGCTTATAAAGATTGACCTGTAGGAAATATTTTAAGAGCATTTCACAATATAGAACTTTACAATCAGTAGCAAAGCCCAATGCATAGCTTTGGTTTGTTCATGAAAGTTGTCCCCGACTTACAATCATTCATTTAGTGACCATTCAAAGTTACAGCGGCACTGAAAAAAGTGACTAATGGTCATTTTTCACACTTATGACTGTTGCAACATTCCCTTGGTCACATGATCAAAATTTGAACACTTGACAACTGGCATGTATATATGACAGTTGCAGTATCGGGGGTCATGCGACCATTTTGTGACCTCTTAACAAGCAAGGTCAATGGGGAAGCCAGATTCACTTAAGAACCTTGCAACTATTTATTTTTTTATTTATTATTTATTTATTTGATTTGCCAATTGTTTACAAGATAATAAGTATAAGTGTATACATAGTTGTGAATACATGAAATGGGTACATATAAGAACAATAAAAGAAGAATAAGAGAAACAATAGGACAGGGACGGTAGGCACGTTGGTGCGCTTATGCACGCCCCCTACAGACCTCTTAGGAAAGGGGTGAGGTCAATAGTAGACAGTCTAAGGTTAAAGTTTTTGGGGTTTGGGGAAGAAACTACAGAGTCGGGTAGAGTATTCCAGACATTGATCACTCTATTGCTGAAGTCGTATTTCCTGCAATCAAGTTTGGTGCGGTTAACTTTGAGTTTGTATCTATTGTGTGCTCTTGTGTTGTTATGGTTGAAGCTGAAGTATTCATTGACAGGTAGGACATTGCAATGTATGATTTTATATACCATGCTTAAATCAGACCGAAGACGGCGTAATTCAAGGTTTTCTAGTTCTAGAATTTCAAGTCTGGTGGCATAAGGTATTCTACAACGAGTAGAGGAGTGGAGAACTCTTCTTGTGAAATATTTCTGGACTTTCTCAATTGTGCTAATATCAGATATGTAATGTGGGTTCCAGACTGATGAACTGTATTCGAGTATTGGTCTAGCAAATGTTTTGTATGCTCTGGTTAGTAGTGTGATATTACCAGAGAAAAAGCTACGTAGGATTAGGTTAACAACTCTTAATGCCTTTTTGGCTATGTAGTTGCAGTGTGCTCTAGCACTTAGATCATTAGAGGTGAGTATTCCAAGGTCCTTTACAGAGCTTGGGTCATCAACAAGATCTTGACTATTCAGCTTGTATTTTATTTTCTGATTTTCTTTGCCAATATGTAAGACAGAGCATTTATTTGTTGAGATTTGAAGTTGCCATTTGTTTGACCATTCTGATACATAGTCAAGATCTTTTTGTAGGGTAGCAGTATTGTCTGTGGTATTGAACAGCTTTACATCATCAGCGAAAAGAACGCAATTGCTCTTAATATGATCACAGAGGTCATTTATGTAGAGTATGAAGAGAGTTGGTCCTAGAACACTGCCTTGGGGGACACCACTATTGACAGGTACAGAATTTGATAGGACGCTCCCAATTTTGACCATTTGTTGTCTGTTTGCCAGGAATGCTTCTATCCAGTTATTCAGTTGTCCAGAGATACCATAGGATTTTATTTTTAGGAGTAGTTTGTCGTGTACCACTGAATCAAAGGCTTTACAGAAGTCTATGTAGATTGCGTCTATTGCTTTGCCCTGGTCGAGTTGTGTCGTCCATATGTTTTTGCAGTGTAAGAGTTGCAGATTACAGGATAGTTTTTTTCTGAAACCAAATTGTTTATTGGAGAGTAGGTTGTTTGTCTCTAAGTGGAGGATGATGGATTGGTTAATAATTGATTCCATGACTTTACAGGTGACGCAGCATAAGGAGATTGGTCTGTAATTTTCAACTAGGCTGGGGTCTCCCTTTTTGAAGATGGGGATGACAGTGGCTTGTGACCATAGGTTAGGCAAGGAGCTGGTCCTGAAAGATTTTTCAAAGATTATGCTTAGAGGTTTGGCTATGGCAGTGGATAGCTTTTTTAAGAAGTAGGCACATATTCCATCTGGTCCAACTAACTTAATAACTAACTTAATTACTGCAGTGATTCACTTAACAACTGTAGCAAGAGAGATTGTCAAACGGGGTCAAATTCATTTAACAACTGTCTTGCTTAGCAGCAGAAATGTTGGGCTCAATTGTGTTCCTTAAGTGGAGGATGCATTTACACATCAAAGATTTCCCTAGTAACTTTTAACACTGCATTCTGGAGCTGAGTGTTCATTTGCGAAAATATCTAGAAAAACTCGATGAACAATTTGGTGAACAAAAAATTATTTCTGTACCCTATTAGTGGGGGAGATATCCTGAAATATACAGTATTCCGCTAAATCCCGTTTATAGGAGCAACTTCTGAAAAAGCATGCACTTTTTAAACGAAACACCTTCGCGTTTCTCACAAAGTGGGAATGCAAACAATTATTCTGCCATGAGCCCACTGGATGGTCACGGACAAAAACTTGGCCGATGTCGCCACATCCGTACTTCGAAATGCTGGGATGCAACGTACCACGACCGAAGGTACCCCGCGAGCTCCCGGGAGGACAAAGAAAGCGCGAGCGCCCGCCCCTCCCTTTGCTCCCCCCGCCCCGAGGTCCTCCTGCCCCCCTCCCCTTTGCTCGCTCTGCCTGTTGGCCTGTCTCCTAGCAACCGTCCGCGTGCCGCTGCTTGAGCAGGAGGGGCGAAAGCGAGGGAAGCGCCATGGCCGAGCTTCCCAAAAGCAGAGCGCGATCCCCGACTCTGCCTCCTCCGGCCCCCGCCATTTTCTACGGCTCTGTGGATCCAAGAAACCCAGTGGTTCACCGGTTCGAGTCCGACCTGAGCGATTGCCTGGGCTTCCTCAAGCGGAAACGGGAAGCGGGGGCCGCGAGCTCCAAGGATCAGGAGCTGCACAGGCGAGGGTAAGAGCGGAAAGGGACCTTCTGCTCGTTTCCCCACTCTGCCCAAGGTGGCCAAAGCCCCTCGCCTCCCTCTCCTTCCCCAGGGCGACTCCCTCCTTTTCCGTCCTTCCCTGTAGACATTTCTGATTACTGAGCGGATTCAACGTACCTCGCCTGCATTTGTATGCCAGCCTGTTAACGGCGGCTGTCGAAAAACTAAGCAGGGTTGGACATCGTTAATATTCGCGTGGGAAAGTATCAAATAGTCCCCGGACCCTAAGCGCGTTCCCGGGAAAGCGAAAAAACCTTCGGAAAAGCTTATGGCAAACCCGTTGATTGTTATCAAGAAAACAACACATCTTACAAACATCAGGAGTTCAGCATGACTCAAGGGAGACTTTACCTTTAACACTATGGAAAACAATTTTTAAAGTGAGGCTGTAATTGTCATTTCCCCTCCTCTCCACCATTCCAGTCTGGAGTATTTAGGCAGTAAGAAAATTTATCAAGTGAAGTTTCTTCCCATCAGTGAGATATTTTATTCTAGTCTGTTGTGAAACTGTTCCAAAAGCAGAGGAGCTTTACAAGTGGAGGATGAAAGAAAGATAATTTGATTTTTTATTAAAATTAATTTATTTGATTGCTGCATTCAGTATGGTTACTAAAGCCATACTAGGTATTTCCTATAAGGTTTAGCTGTATTTGCACATGAAGACTTATAATTTTTCACAGATCCAATTTCAATTATATTTTTTATTTGTTGAATTGGAACAAAGAGGCTTTTAGTTTTTAGAAGTTGGATTTTTCTAAAAAGTTGCAAACCACAGATTTGAAAGCTTTCTTGATATAGACATTCCATAGAGTGGAATTAGGCGAATTAACAAACTGTACTAACAGATAACAGATAATCAGAGTTGGAAGGGACCTTGTAGGTCATCTAGTCCAACCCTCCCCGCCCACTCAATCCTTACCTGTAAACTTGCCTACTAAATTGCTATTTTTCCTTTTTCCGACCATCATCTGTTCTGCTATGCCGGGAGATTTAGATTAGCTAGGAAGCAGGAAATGGTTGGATTTCTTGCTTTCTAGCTAGTCTTTAGTTCTTTGGCTCAGCACAGCCAAACCTCCCTTAGGACTGAAGGTTTGCTTGCAAGCAAATTCAGTGCAGACTCACAGCAAGCAAATTTGAGAGACTGAGCTAGCTGATGGCAGATAGATAGATCACTGAATGGATTCTGTGAGCAACTCAATCTGCCTGCTTTGCCTGATTTTGGGTAAAAGTTGCTCTTTTTTAAAATAAAAATTCAATATTTACATGCTTGGTGTGTTGTGAGCTAATTTTGTGAGTTTGCTTGCAAGCAAATTTTATGTGACAGACTGAGCTAGCCAATGGCAAATAGAATGAATCTGTTATTCTGTGAGCAACTCAATCTGCCTGATTTGCCTGATTTTGGGTAAACGTTCTTTTTTTATAAAAAATTCATTGTTTATACAAATATTTATAATATTTACATACAAGCCATGCCCAGCCAGTCACATGACCACCAAGCCACACCCACAAATTAGGCCATGCCCACAGAACCGGTTAGTGGTCCCTGGGATCTAAAATTATGAGTTTGGTTGTCCCTGAGGTCCAAAAGGTTGGCGACCCCGGAATAGCAGACATTCTCAGAAAGTAGTAGTCCAGGGGTGTCAAACTCAGGTTATCATGGTGGCGTCATGTGACATATCAGGACTTTTTCCCCCTTCACTAAAATGGGCATGGGCGTGGCCAACATGTGATGCATCCAGTCCTTGGGCCGAGAGTATGACAGCCCTGTAGTAGTCCTTCTAATAATCTGACCCTTTAATGGTAATAAACAGCATCTTGAATTGCACCTGAAAATTGGAAGCCAGTTCATCTCACACAGTGGTATAAGATGACAAACTGCAGAGTGCCCAGAACTGCATATGCAGTTGTAGACCCATGATTGCATTCATAAAAGTCTCATGGAGAGCATGTTATAGTAATATAATTTGGGAAGTGTTTTAGATATTGCATGTTTTTATTTGCTATCCTCTTTTAATCTTTGTTTTCTGCTTCCCAGTTTGATTTAATCTTTATGTGATGCATGTCATCATAAAACTATGTTTTGATTTCAGAGTTCTAGCAGTGTATTTGTTTCTATTGGATCTCTTTGACTGCTTCTGTTGCTTTTCCAGCTTTTGTTACTATTTTAGTCTCATAAACTTTTATAATCTACTGTTTTACTTAGATCTCAAGGAGGTTTTATGGAAGTAGTATTTCGATATTTTATGGTGTCCAAAACTGCTACAGACAATATATCAATCAAATGATAATTTAATAGGTTAAAATATTTCAGATATGTTATAAATGTTACTGCTATTTATAACTTTTTTGGTCTTCAAGTCAGAGTTAACTCCTGGAATAGTCCCTGCAGATTTCTTGGCAACATTTTTCGGTAGTGGTTTGCCATTTTCTAAGGCTGAGAGAAAGCAATTGACCCAAAGTCACCCTACTATCATTGTGTCTCAGCCAGGAGTAGAACTCACAGTCTGTTGGTTTCTAGCTTGTTGCTTAGCCACTACACAAAACTGGTGTTAATATATATGAGTTAAATATATGTTACTTTATAAACATTTATAAACAGTTTTTGTTCTTGATATACTTAGGAAATCCAGTAAAATATTGCACTACTGTCTTATTGCCATTCTAAAATTTTTAATCCAACAAGATTATTACCATACCTCTCAATAAGTGATTTCCTGTTGTAATTTTTATTTAGAACCACTTCTTTGTTCAATATCTGGAACAACTATAGGCCTCGACTCCCAGATTGGTATTACAATGAAACACTTGTAAAAATTGGTGATCAGCTTATGGAAATGAAAGTAAGTAATGATTCTGATGAATCACTTTTATCAGTGTTTTGTTAAATGTGTAGGCATGAGTGTTCATCAACTTGTGCAAAATGATGCTTCATATATAATATTTTAATTCATTGGGTTCAGTTCAGTTCAATTTTACATAGCAGGAAATGGGAAATGCAAACAGGATCCTGCTGTAAAGAGAAGGAGGTTTTATTGAATATTAGGGAACTCTGAAACATGGGAATAATGGTAGAAAGTTGCAAGAAGAAAAAGGAATTGATAAAAATTACTATACCTTACCCATTTCTTTAACCGTGCTTCCACAGGTCTTCTTTAAGAGAAATGTCCACTTTTTCTCAGAAACAAACTACAGTATATGCAGAATATTTTAAGTATTAATTTCAGCAAACATACTATCTTAAAATGATAAGCATTGATCGAAATATTTTTGAAATCTGAAATTATTTCACACTGCACTGCCTGCTTATAATCTAAAGATGATTTAATTGCCTCAGCTTAGTCTTACATGATGTGCATTTTGGAAAACTACTATATGATTTTGCATTCCCAATTTTGAGCCCTGTGTCTTCCATTCTGTGTACAGGTAGTCCTCGACCTATTGACATTTGTTCAGTGTCTGTTTGAAGTTTCATTGGCACTGAACAAATGGTGGTCATGGCTGGTCCAGCACCCCCATGGCAATACGATTGCGATCTGGGTGATTAGCAACTGATTCACACTTATGATCATTTTCAGTGCTCTCATGATTGCCATTTGCAATGTTCCCTGCTGTCTTCCTCAGAAAGTCACAGTCCACCTGCACCCTCTTCTACTCCCTTGTGTTCACTTTTCACTGAGCACTCATGCCCCCCACACCCTCATGCACTCTCTCCAACCTGCACTGTGCTTCTTACTCAGCTCCTTGTAATCTTGCGCACCCTCCCTGCTGTTACCACTTGTCCCATGCACCACCTTGTACCTTCATGCACCTTTTCTGATCCTCACCGTGCCTCCCTTGTACCAGCACACTCCCTTGCTCCCTTTACCATCCAGCAGCAACCTCTTACCTACATGCAGGCTTGGGAGTTGCAAGTCCCTTGTTAGTTTCTCCACTGACTTGGATGGGGAATCTAATCTTGGTTAGAAGTTGTTTTGTTTAATGACTATGGGATTTGATTAACAATGACAGCTGGCTCTTCAGTAACGGTTCTCACTTAGCAGATACAGATACAGATAATCAGAGTTGGAAGGGACCTTGTAGGTCATCTAGTCCAACCCCCCGCCCAAGCGGGAGACCCTACACCATTTCTGACAAATTGCAGTCCAATCACTTCTTGAAAGTCTCAACTGATGGAGCTCCCACAACTCCCGAGGGCAAGCTGTTCCATTGGTTGATTGTTCTCACTGTCAGAAAGTTTCTCCTTGTTTCCAGGTTAAATCTCTCCTTGTTCAGTTTCCATCCATTATTCCTTGTCTGGCCTACAGGAGCTTTAGAAAATAGCTTGACCCCTTCCTCCCTGTGGCAGCCCCTCAAATATTGGAAGACCACTATCATGTCTCCCCTGGTCCTTCTCTTTACTAGACTAGCCAAGCCCAGTTCCTGCAACTGTTCGTTGTATGTTTTAGCCTCCAGTCCCCTAATCATCCTGGTTGCTCTTCTCTGTACTTTTTCTAGAGTCTCAACATCTTTTTTATAATGTGGTGACCAAAACTAGGTGCAGTACTCTAGGTCTTACTAAGGCTTTATAGAGTGGTATTAGTACTTCCCTTAATCTTGACTGTATACCTCTGTTAATACAATTTAGGATTGCATTAGCTTTTTTGGTGGCTGCAGCACATTGCTGGCTCATATTTAGCTGGTTGTCCACTAAGACTCCAAGATCCCTCTCACAGTTACTGCTATTGAGCCTGGTTTCACCCAGTCTATATGGGTACTTTTGGTTTTTCTTGCCTAAGTGTAGGACTTTACTTTTCTCTACACTGAATTTCATTTTGTTAGATATGGCCCAGTGTTCTAGTCTGTCAAGATCCATCTGGATCTTGAGCCTATCTTCTTGGGTGTTAGCTATTCCTGCCAGCTTAGTATCATCTGCAAATTTGGTAAGTTCCCCTTCTATTCCTTCATCTAAGTCGTTAATGAAGATATTGTAGAGTACTGGGCCTAAGACGGAACTTTGTGGCACCCCACTGCTTATTTCCCTCCATGTAGACTTAGACCTATTAAGGACTACTCGTTGAGTATGGTTTGCCAGCCAGTTGCGAATCCATCTAGTGGTGGTGCTATCTATTCCACTTTTTTCTAGCTTACTAAGAAGTAGGTTGTGATCTAGTTTATCGAATGCCTTGCTGAAATCTAAATATATTATGTCCACGGTATTTTGCTGGTCTATTAATTTAGTCACTGTGTTGAAGAATGAAATAAGATTGGTTTGCCAGGATCTGTTTTTAACAAACCCGTGCTGACTGCTAGTTATTACTTTACTTGTTTCTAGATGTTGGCAGATCTGTTTTTTTATTATCTTTTCCAGCATCTTCCCGGGTATTGATGTTAGGCTGATTGGTCTATAGTTTCCTGGGTCTGTTTTTTTTTCCCTTTTTGGAAGATAGGAACCACATCAGCTCTTTTCCAGTCCTCTGGTAGTTCCCCAGTGCTTCAGGATTTTTGAAAGATATGGTGCAGTGGTTCTGAGATGACCTCTGCCAGCTCCTTTAAAACTCTGGGATGTAATCTATCAGGCCCCAGTGATTTGTTTTCATCAAGATCAGACAGGTGTTCTCTTACTATTTTTTTGCTTATTTTAACTTTTATTTCTGGTCTGTCTTTTGCAGTTATGTTTTTGGTGGGTTGAGCTATAGTTTCTTTTTGCGTGAAGACAGAGGCAAAGAATGAGTTAAGCAGTTCTGCTTTCTCTCTGTTGCCTGTTACTTCCTTGCCATCTTCTCTGTTTAGTGGATCAATTGTTTCCTTGATCTTTTTCTTGTTATTGATATGTTGGAAGAAACTTTTTTTGTTATCTTTGACTTTTGTTGCAAGTCTTTGTTCGTTAGGAGCCTTTGCTATCCTGACTTCGTCTTTGCAGATTCTGGCTATCTGCTGATATTCTGCCTTAGTTGTATGCCCTTCTTTCCATTTTTTGTACTTGTCCTTTTTTTCTTTCAATTTGCCAAAGAGATCTTTGTGTAGCCATGCTGGTTTCTTCTTGGATTTCTTGTTTTTCTTTCTCAGTGGTATTGTGCTGGTCTGGGCTTCTATGATCATACTTTTTAGAGTTTCCCAAGATTCTTGAGTTGTTTTCTCCTGTAGGATTTTCATCCATGGAATCTTTCCCAAGTTCTCTCTGAGTTTATTGAAATCAGCTCTTTTAAAATCCAAGACTCCGGTGTCATTATGTTCTGTTGCTTGTGTTTGTGTTGTGTTGAATTCTAATATGACGTGGTCACTCTCACCCAAGGTTCCTGCAGTTTCAACTCACTCTATCACTTCTTCTCTGTAAGAATTAAGTCCAGTATGGCTGTCCCTCTAGTTTCAGCCTCTACCTTTTGGACAACAAAGTTGTCAGCTAGGTTGGTAAGGAACTTATTTGATTTCTCACTTGGTGCACAATTAGTTTTCCAATTGATATCAGGATAATTGAAGTCTCCCATTACTATTGTTGTGTGTTTCCTGCATATGTTTGTTAGTTGGCTGGCAAAAAGGACATCTATTTTTTCTGCTTGATTGGGTGGCCTATAATACATGCCTATGGCCATGTCATTTTTTTTCTTTTATATTGACCCATATGCGTTCTAGGAGGTTTTCATCTTTGGTTTCATGCATTTCTGTAGCAATATAGTGGTCAATAGCAATGCAGTTGTGCTTTATGATGGCACCACTTAGGGACGGAAATTCTCAATTTATCATCATAATTTGAGGACTATTTGAATATATTTAATATTACTTAAAGATACCTATATTAACTTACTGTTTTATTCATATTTGTTTTTCATATTTAATACAAATTTGTATGAAATCAATTTGAATGTTTACTTATGATTCTTATTCAAGGTATTATGCCTCTTAGTGTGTCTATGCTTTACCCTAAATTCTAACTCTAATCCATAATCTAGCTTAAATTGTTTTGCTAAATAAGCATAAGTGTTTGGGTTTACACAGCAACAAGTCATAAATTGTAAACCATTTAAACATAGTACATACAATATACTGATCCAAAGCCAATGAACCCTATGATGGCTATTACTGTATATTAACTCAACTAGTATCAGTTGCTATGAAATATGAACAGTAGGGATAATTTTACTAATTTTGTCTTTATTAATGTTTCTTCTCAGTGAAAGTATTTTTTAAAGTTTATTTGAGACTGCTCTTATTTGGAATAAAGAATTTTGTTTTAAAACTACTAAATAAATAACAAAGTATTCCAGTATCTTTTGTACTGTATCAGCTGTATTCATCAGTCTGGTTTCCTAACTTACAGCATAATAGTAGCTTACTTGAAAAAGAAGTCCAGTGGATTCAGTTGTTATATGAGCTTACTGAACTGTAAATTTTTAACTTTAAATATTCAATAAGTGTGTGAAACAACTGAATTAAATATAATTCATTTTCAAGCAAGTATTATAATTATTGCATTTTTATCCTACCTGTTTGTGTATAACTATTAACAATTTAATGGAAAATATATTTAAAACATATTATTTTTGTTTTCAGGAACATAAGCTAGCATTTTTGTATTGCTATGAGCAGTATCTTCAACAAATTAGTGGTATAAATATAAAATATGGATTAGATGCACATCAATTAAAGTCTAATTTTTTCCCAAATGGATTTAGAGATCAAAGTGCTACACGTACAGTGAGTATTTATAACAGCTGTTAAATGTTATTTAATGTTTCTATAATTTAGCATTAGTCAGGATTCATGAAATAGGCTATGAATATGGCCCATACTATATTCCAAATGCATTAATTTGATGAGGAGAAAATGTGTGATTTTTCCCCAAGATGATTACACTTCATTCTAGGAACGAGTTTAGAAAAATGAGAGCCTAAAGAAAATATAACTAATGCCTTCTTTTGTAAAATCCATTCATAAATTGTGAGAGCAAAGTATTAGAAATGTAATTTTCTCTTTCCCTCCCATAGTTAATTTCTGGATTTTGACAGTAAAGTATCTTGGATTACAGGTAGTCCTTGTTTAGAGACCCACAATTGGGATAAGTAATTTGGTTGTTAAGTGATGTAGTTGCTTAGTGGAAAATCATGTGACCACGACTCTGATTATGATTTTGTTTCAGCTTTCCTCCCCCCCCCCCACTCCTCCACCCGTTGAAATGTTCATGCTGGCACTGGGATAATTAGCAAGAAGGGATTTAATGTTTATATTTGCATTCATTGGAAAGGAAAGGATTATACAAAAGTAAACTAGCACACAATGGGGAATACAGATTGAAAGAAATGTGCTAAAGTGAGTGGTTATCCCTCGTTCTTCCTGCACATCGCCCTGCCTTGCCATTCACCCTCGGCCTTCATGCATGCATGCTGTACTATTTCATCAACCCCTGGCCTTTGAGTGTGCATGTGCTGTGCTGCAGTACCCCCACTTCCCCTGCATCCCCAAAACTCATACATGATCTGCATTGGGTCTTCCAAACTCTCTCAGCTTCTCCAAGCTCATGCTTGGCCTGTGCTGGCCTTCCCCTTCCCCTAACCTTTCCCAGCTGCTGTGGCACATTTCCACTACCTCCATATTCCCCTACGGTATTCTTGTCCTTACTTGGGATTCCCACTGCTTCCCCGCTTGACTTGCATGTTTTGAAGTTAAGATGACCATCAGGACTCTGGCATAAGCAATGCAGTTGTGTGATATTACACTTTACAACTGCATTGCTCAGTGACAGCAATCCCAGCCCCAATTGCTGCCATAACTCAAGGACTGCCTGTATTGTTTTATATTGGAGAGATGTATCATATTCTCCTTCTGTACTGTAAATTACTTTTGCTCTTTGCTGCTGGTAAATGTGTGTAAATAGTTCTTTTCATCTAGGACAGAGGTGTCAAACTGGTGGCCCATGGGCTGGATGAGTCACACGCAGGCCATGTCCATCCCAACTCCACAAAGGGAAAAAAACATCGCAATATATCATGTGACAGCAATATGACACGGTGAATTTGACACACATGATTTATTTAGGGTATCCTCCTAGATCTACATTCCCTTATGGGCAAAGTAGTCAGTCTAAAAATAGAGACTACTAACTGAAATACAATAAAATAAAATAGCAAATTGTGAAGTATAATGGACACCAATCCTTTTCTCGCTTCTCATTGTTAGAATGAGTACAATATCTAATTTTTTATTGTTCTTAAAATGACAACTTAGAGCCATAGTGGCACAGTGGCTAGAATGCAGTGTTGCAGGCTAATTCTGCTGATTGCTGATTACCAGTAGTTTGGCAGTTCGATTCTCACCAGGCTCAAGGTTGAATCAGCCTTCCATCCTTCCTAGGTAGGTAAAATGAGGACCCAGATTGTTGGGGGCAATATGCTGACTCTGTAAACCACTTAGAGAGGATTGTAAAGCACTATGAAGTGGTATAAAAGTCTAAGTGCTTTTGCTAAATGCTATTAAATAAATGGTTGTAATGGAGGATTACCTGTATACCACAGGTATGGTGAGCTGGCTGTACAGGCAAAGTAACTGCTGAATTGCCAATACCCTGTATTTATTTTGTCAGTTCATTACTGACATTTATTGTACTAGTTTACTATGGGATCTTCATGATCGTCTTTTAAGAACAATGTTTTAATTAATATATTATATTGTAAAAGATTCAGCATAATCTAATACATATGAAATAAAATGTTACTTGTTTAGTACATTATTCAGGAATGGATCTGTTTTGTGATGGTATCTATTCTTTATGCATTCAAAACAGAATAAATATTTCATTTTCAAGGTTGATAACTGAAAACCAGGTGTTTGTAATAGAAGAATGAACTATTTGAATCCATTAATTTTTAAAAAATTTTTTCCAATAAATTGGTCCATGATTTTAATTATAACATCTATTGTAATTCTTTGATAACTAAATACTACATTAGAGCATTTTTGTGATTATAACTAAATTAAGCTAAGTGCAGAATTATTCAATATAGAATTTCCATTTTACTGGATTAAAGGAATATTTTGTTCTAAAGTTTAGGGTGTTCTAAGATAAGGTGAACTTTTCAATATTGAAAGATTAGTTTAGTTTCCAGATGCTTAAAAATATCTTTTTAGATTTAACCAGTCTCTCTTTTAAATTAAATGATGATGATTGTTTCAATTACTATAATTTACTATGATTGTATCATGTTTTTCAATACTGTGTTTGTCCCTTTGTAATACTTATTTATGTTATAGTTTAACTTACAGTAGTCCTCGACTTAACAGTTCATTTAGTGACTGTTAAAAGTTACAATGGCACTGAAAAAAGTGACTTATGACCATTTTTCACATTTACAACTGTTGTAGCATTCCTGAGGTCATGTGATCAAAATTTGGATGCTTGGCAACTACTACATATTTATGATGCAGTGTCCTGGGGTCATGTGAACGGCTTTTACAATCTTCTGATAAGCAAAGCCAATGGAGAAGCCAGATTCACTTAACAACTATATTACTGACTTAACTGCAATGATTCACTTAACAACTTTGGCTAGAAAAATCTAAAATGGGGCAAAACTCACTTAACAAATGTCTCAATTAACAATATAAATTTTGAGCTCAATTGTGATAGTAAGTCCAGGACTACCTGTATTTCCTAGTTTTTGTTTAATACTAATATGTTTCTTAATATTTGCTAAGTATTCCCCAAAATAATTAGCAATGCTGATTGTCACATAAACATTATTTTTTTCTAGTTATTTAATTACAGGAAAATATACTGCATTTTAATGTAGAAGCACTAGGTTGAAGAAAGAAACATAGCAGATAATTTTACAAGAAACTGTAACAATTCTCAGGCAGTGATTTTGCTGTGTTTGAACTGGGACATAGGTTTGGCATAAAGAAAACCCCATAGTTTCAGAGTCTCTGAAGAACTTCATAGATCATTCACTCATTTACTAGCTCGTTCACTCTACTGCTGTCTTCCATAGTCTCTCAATGGCTTACAGAATATAGAAAGCAAGAATTAAAACATCCACAAACAGATTAAAATTAATTTGAATAAAAACGCAATATCCCCAAAACAAAAACCATGTAAAATAAAATATAAAAATAATGGGGAAAAAAGGACTCTATGAGATAAGATAGCATGAAATAGAAGCCTAAGAAAAAGCCCCCTGAAATATCTTTAACACTTCCTGAAAAACCAGAAAGGAAGAAGCCAGCTGTCATCAGCAACATTGCTGATGTTTCATTGTCCTTTACATTTAAATACAGATAAATAAAACTATTGCCCAAAACAAGCATTAAATGATACCAAAGTGTTTATTCGACAAATAGTGAAAGATATAAATATCCAGGGATAAAAAAGCAAAATAATCTTGAAAGAAGGAAGAGTAAATGGATGACTACTGCAAAGTAGGACCAAGAAAGACGTTGAATGCTATAAGAATGATCTGAGTACTATTGGCTGGGGTAATAAAATAAAGGAAAAAGCTGTAGAAATCAGATTGGCACATTTTGATGGTAATTTCTTGTTCATCTTAGCTCCATGTTCTGCAAGCAAGGAATATTTGTCTTTATAAAATAGTATGTGATAAAGACAGTGACCTCCTAAATCAAGACTCTGTGAAAACATGTTTTGGCATCTTAACCATACTGCAACTCATCATGCAGATGACTTTGCCCCATGAACATTTATGTTGGATCGTCTACAATGGTATGCTACAGTTTTAAAACTCCAAATGCAGTCCTAAATATTAAATATCATTCTTATGCCCCATACTGAAGAAATCTTTCAAAAGTTCAACATGATTTCATTTTGAGAGTTTATTGATTTATTAAATTTGTTTGCCACTCATCTTGTTTTGAAGCGACTCCTTTTAAACAATTAAATCATCTTATGAAGAGTGTCAATTTCTCTTTACCTTTAATAATTTGCTGTATCATATTTTCAATATTAATAGAAATGTAATGGGATACTGGTTTTAAAAAAATATTAACACTAGCATGTAAAATGTGTACAACTGAGAGGATAGGGTTTTTTTGGAATTCTAATGTTTAAGAAAAGTATCATAAAACTTTACTATTGAGATATTTTAAGAGGATGATACATTATATGGTATCAAGAATTTTATTATATATAAGGTTGTATACATTATCCATAAGATATTTGAATTGTAGAAATGATACACAATTCATCACAATAAAGAACTATGGCGTTTATATGTTAAAATGTTTTTTCTTTTAGGTACAGTTCATATGTATACCATATGTAGGCACTTGATGACTATAGGCCAATCAGCTAAGGTACATAAAATTAAGTATAAGCATGTATCTGTCTGCCTGTTCTTTGTCAAATTACTTGTCTTTTAAAATTACTGTTCATTATAATTTTTTATTTTTTAAAATTTAACATTGTGGAATGTGTAAACTTTTATTTGTATTACAAATATGTATTATTAAAGTGTGTTCCTTAAATAATAATAAGAAATCAAAACTTATTGTTTGAATAGGAAACTTTTAACCCACATACCTATAGAGATAATTAGGAAGAGAGATGTGTATGCTCCAGAAGAGAAAATTCACTTATAAAAAAGGGAGAGGGGGGGAACATTGTTTGACAGGGATCAGGTTTAGAAACAGGAAATAAAATTTGGAATTCATTTTCAAAATGACTGCCAAGTCATTGTAAAGTATGATTTATTAAACATTTTTATTGTCTTTGTATTTAAATATGCATTATTATTTGAACTTGGAGGTCCATAGCCTGTTTGGGAACTGGGCTGTGTGAGTGGCAGGAGCATGCGCTTGCATGCCCAGCTCCATTTGCACGAGCAACAGGTATGCTCGTGCGTGAAGCTTCATTTGTGCCAACACTTGTGCAAATGGAACTGCACATGCAAGTATGTGTGCCTGTTACTCACATGGAACCATTTCCTCCCTCTCGCCCGCCGGTCTGCAAAGCCAGAAAGGTTGGGGACCTCTGGGCTAAATGGCTTGTGATGCTGTTTTTGTTATAAGAATATGTACTAGTCCTTTGTGATTGTTGAGAGAGTTCTTATCTTATGCCGGGAGAAAGCATCATATTATCAATAAGGCCGTGGAACAACCTGATTCAGAATATTTTATCTTGCTCCTTTTGATTTGTGGTTGATTTGTGAACAAAAAGTCAAATGAGGACTTGTTTGGCCATGGATCCCTTTTTCTTTAAAAGCAATTATTTGTCTTTCTTTTTTCTTTTTGCTGACTATATAGGATTGGTAGCTCTCTAGGGAAGTTCAAAAGCAAATAATAATATTTAAACAAGAGTATAAAACTTGCCTTAAGAGTGTGAGAACTAAAATGGGTTCAGAACTATAAAGATGTGATCGTGGAATATTTATAAAATATACCGTATATGTAGTTTGTACATATTTTTACTATTTTGTGCTTTCACGTGTTTAATATAAACTTAATATATAAAAATATAATGCAGCTATTTAGAGTATAAAAAATACATGGATATATAGAAGACTCTTATTGTATTAGGTTGAACTCTAGTGGCATCTAGTGGCTATTTTTCACAGTTACATTTTTTGTTTAATTTGAAGAGTTGATTAAAAAGGTAGTTGCTTTCATTACTATGCAGGATGATTTAAAACAAAAAAATTAATTTTAGAAATATCAGCCAAACCAATAAATTTTCATTATAAAAGGAGCAATGTTATCAGTTCTTTCCCAGTATCTAAATTTTAATTTGCCTTTGGGGACCAGGCAATTGCTCTTAACCAACATGATAGATTTTTTTTCTTTTTAGTATCTAAATGTATACATGAATTATAAATTAACTTTCTTGAATTTCTGTTTTGAATGTAGCAAAATTAATATTTTTCTGATCAATCTGTATTTGTTATACTATCATTATTTCCTGAAAAGTATTCTCATTTAGTAATGTTTAATATATGCATACGTACATATATATATGTGGGTGGCTGTGGGTGTGTGGATGCACACATGTGCCTTCAATTCAGTATTGATTTCTGGTAACTGCTTTTTCTAGTTCCTGTAGTTTTCTTGGCCAGGCAGGGCAAGTTAAACTATATCATTCTCTGATATTTTAATGAATGAATTAGAAAGAGACTCACCAGAAAAAGGGGTGTTTCTGTATTGATAAAGAGGATACTTTGTTAGTGGTAACCATCAACTTATCTTTGTACTTTACTATTAGTTACCAGCTCTAAGTGACGAATTTGAATATGTATAATTCTATATTCTAAATACTCCAAGGGCCTAATTATCATTAAAACAAAGCAAGCCTTCAGTCCCTCCCTTCAATTTAAAACTGAAGTTTGAGCTATGATTTAGGACTTTCTTTATGTGAAAACACAACTCCCTAATTTTATGCTTGAATCTGGGAAGAGAGGATGGAGTCTGAAGTTGTGTTCTATTTGAGAAGAGAATGTAAGGGTATTAACTTAAGAAACAAACAACATATCTGGAGAAGGTATGTGATTTATACACTTAAGCTCGGGAGCCAAAGGTAGTCAAAATTTGATCTATAACTTGAAATGCATATATTAGAATATCAAAGAAAAAATAATCACAGTCTGGTTTATTAATAAAGGGATACTTTTTAATAGGTGCTGGAATATTTATTGTGGGCATCATTATGTATGGAATCATCAATTCCACTTTTAGCTGTACACTATTTGACATGGAGATCCACTCTGTATGCTGCTGTCTGTCAGTGTTATTATGATTGCCAATCAGGTATTCATGGAGAGGTAATCTCTATTTTAACTTTTATTAAAAGATTTAAAAGATACTACTGTTTGAGCTGCTCTCTCTAAAGCATAGCTAAAAGGGATTACTTTGTTTATATTCCTCATTTAGGAGAGGAAGAGTTTACATTAATATTTGGGATTTATCAGTCTATATTTAGGATAGGAATCATTTACATGAAATTTTAGGGTTTTAATGCATTCTTTATAGAAAATGGATTAACTGCCTTTTTCCTTTTTCTTCTCTCCAATCTTTTGAATTATTAGTGTTATCAGATTTGGGTTTCAGTGCACTACCAACTTATTACTACTTTTCTAAATAGTAGGGCCATCATTTTTATTTGTCCCTTCTAACTTTTTGCTACCATGGGGCATTGATTGTTTTTGCTTGTTTTACTAATCAAACAAGTTTTTTCTATCCTACCTATAGGTTAAATTCTCATCTGCTTTTTCCCCATTCATTATTTGTTATTTGCCCAATGTAGTCTCTCTAATGTGTTTCCAGTTTTGCTCTGCCTATTTGCTCATGAAGTCAAATCAGTTGGACATTGAGCAGAATGACATTTGCATCCCAGGTATTGCCAGCGTTTCCAAAATCATCTCCCAGCCTTGTTCCCTTTAATACTTGCAATCTGACTCTATGATAGGGTTTGGAGTATTCCATATAACGTCAGTTGGACTGCTAGGTTAAAATGAACAGACAGTATCGGCATTTCCTTTCTCTACCTGTTGTGTCGTTATTAAAAAGGGGAAATTTCAAACATATTTTTATGCAAAAGTTTCAGAGTGCATCTAATAAATGAATGAGTATATTATGTTGTAGGTGTTTGCACGGCGTGGTTTGATTAAAATTGATGAACTAAAGCAAATGGAGTTTATGAGTTCATCACCTCTGAGTACAGAAACAAAGAAAAAATTCAAAGAAGCAACTGTGAAGGTACATATTTTTCACAAAGATTACCATATTTAAAAACAGAAGTAATATAATAATTATGCATTTCTTCACTTTGAGCCAGATGGCAGCAATGATTTTTAAAAGAACAATATTTGAACCAAGAAGGCGACCAAAAGGAGTTCTGAGACCAAGAATAAAAGCTAATCTGAAAGAAGCACAGCATGTAAGTTTTAGGAATGTTAACTTGTCCTGGCCAGAAATAGGAACTCGTGAAGGTGGCTTTCGTTCATGTCTCTCTGCCTTCCTGCCTGCCTGCCTGTCCACCTGTCCGTCTGTCTGTCTACTTAGAAATAAATCCCTTTGAGCTTAGTGAGACTTATTCTCAGGTGAGTAGATAGAGATTGTAGCATTAGAATACCTGGTTTGAAAAGATTTGGGGCTCAACTGAAGGCTTTATATTATTTATACTTTTAGATTCTGTCCCTTCTTGAAAAATGGAACTCTTTAAAAAGAGATCTTTACATTGAAACCTAACTCTTCATTCTGCCAGGTCTTGTTTTCTCTGCTGTCTGAAATTGCAAATAAGCATTAATGTATTTGAAACCACTACCTGATGCATAGATCTCTAGAGGGGAATTTGGCTTTTAGAAGGCTGTAAGTCCAGAAAATAATTTCTGTTGAGAACCAGTTGCTGTCAGTGCGTGGCCATAGAAACTTTTACTACTAGCCTTTTGAATCTTACTCATTCGTCTTTCCCATTGGTATAAAGGCCAGAATCATGGCTTTTAATAATTAAATGGCATAGTGTGTTATACATATGCATATTATTTGCAGCATGTTTTATCTTTCTCTCCCAACAATTCATTTTTTTTAAAGAATCAGATTTATTACATTTTGCTTCTTATAATGGATTGAAAATGGAAGCCAAGTTTTACTTGACACCAAATTCTACAATATAAGATTCAGCAATCATGGTAACTGTTTTATAGAAATGTATTACTATAGTTCAATTTATTTGAAATACAAACTGATCTTGATGTTTTTATTTTATTGTAGTTGCCTTGGCCTCGTACCATCACAGAACGGTTGCTGATGGAAATATTTGATTGCAATTCATCAATTTTTTTTTCCATTATGGAAGCTCTCTTTGATAAAAACAGACGGACCCTTATCCCTGGACCTTCTGTTCCCGACGAAATAGAAGTGCGTGATATTATTGCGGAACTCTGTTTTGCAGGCGCAGATATTCTTGATGGTAATTGTATATATACATATAACATATGATAGAATGATAAGAAAAATAAATAAAAGTTGGGTACTCTATACAAAATTAACAGAGGTTAACTTTCCCCAAATAGGCCACATTCCAGATGTATGGACTTAGATTATCAGGGTTCTTAGCAATAACTATGATAGTTAAGGAATTGAATATTATATATTCTAGGGAAATCAGACTGATACCAATAGAAGAGAATATATATATAGCTCAAGGCTGATCTGTATATCTTGGTGCTCTCTGAACCTGGTTGTTTGCTTGCAGATGTTTCATTATCAGACAAGGTAACATCTTCAGTGTTAGAAGGGACAGAGGTTTGATCAGTATTCCATGGTCGACAAGTCAAATTGTGATAGGAAATTATTTTCCAGGTATCTAACATTTAAATAAGTGTTGCCTGCTTAGAAATTATGGGTAAGCTGAAACATAATTTCTACCTCTGTGGGAGAAGAGAAAGCAAATCGGACCTGAAAAATATCCTTTGGCTTTCAACTGCCACATTATAGAAAACTGCCACATTATAGAAGAATGAAAAGGTGCTTATTGGAAAATGATCTCATTGTCTAAGTTGAACCTTGTCCTCAAGCCTGTTAGCAACAACCAGTTTATAGTACAATCCAGAAGATTTTCACCATGACAAAAATTCTAGAGATTTATCTTTCAGGACTGACTGCTATAGTGTTGAATTAGTTTTCCCTGGTACGTGTATAGGGTCTTAGAGATGAAACTGCTTGTGCTAAGCTCTACACTTAATGTGAAATTAACTCCAGTAATGGGCTTTTTGCAAACCTTTTAATAGTCATGGAAGTTCCATTTATTTAATTGATAGGGCTCTAATGTAAGATTCATTGGACTTCAGATGTACCATTTCACCATGCTGTGTTCGTATATATGCCTAAAACAGAATGAAGCTTGAGAACTCTTGATATCTAATTTCTCTTTTTTTTCAATAAACCAGTAAAACTCTCAAGTTGATCTTACAGTTGCTATGCCAATTTTGGGATTTCTTTCTCTGTGCATGTTTTTAAAAATGTTTCTTATATATTTGCTCATGGCTGCACATCTTAAGCCTAAAACATATAGGGGGAACTTAGCTAGGAAACAGCAACTTTGGGAGGGACTTCTATTGATGTGCTTGTGAGCTTACTCCTGATCTAGCAAGAACTTTTCTTTAACTACTAATATGTATTTGGCCTTCTGTTTTGTGGATATTCCCATTAACAATCTCTAAGAATTAATAGACTGTGCTGGTCAGGTGGTTTATAAGCCAAAAGTAAAGTGGCTATGTGGGGCAAGGCTTGAAGAAAGACATTCTTGTAGCAGGTTTGTCAACTCAAGGAGTTGAACAGGCATTAAATAATGTTTAGTATTTAAAAAGATTTATGTTTTTTTAAGGTGGTGGCATCAATGTTTCAATTAATACTTCTGAAGTTTCTTCAATAATAACTACTTCATCACTTATGCAGCAGATATTAGCAGGTATTTTTAATTTTACAGTGCTTAATTAAAATGATGAAATATTTATGTAAGGTAGTGCTTTATAAGATAAGTCATAATAATTATAATTTTACTGCAGATAAAAATGTTTTGACACCTGTTAAATTATCTTCTACTCGCCTTTTTAAAAGAAAAATAAATAACCAGTAATTTGACAGTTTAGGTGACCATGTATTTATTTATTTTTTTATACATGTTTGTAGCTTTTAAAATAACAGAAAAAGAACAAAAGGAACAAAATGCAAAAATACATTATTAAAAATACATGACAAGAGTTTTAAAAAAGAGAAAAATAGACAACAGAAAAAATGAAAATCCCATAAAATAAAGTATAATATTTTGCTATAATAAATAGAATAACAGAGTCAGGTGAGGAAGAGGGCCATGTCATTATTTTTTAATCTTTAAGGCCTTTACTGGCTAGCCACGCAGTAGAATACAGCAATGCATGCAATGGAGCATTGTCCAGCCCACACCAGTAACCCACCTCCACATTGCTGGCATCTGAGTTTAAGTGAAGCTCTGTTACTGATCCATGGGCCCATCCATCTAGTTCTTCAAGAATCATTCTCATCACTCTCATCTCATCAATCTATAAAACCTTTGAAAAACCTGTCTTCAGATATTTCTTGGCCCACTCTTGCCGTTTCAATTGTTCAGTGATGGTTGGGTTCCAACTTTCCTTACCTTGGCTATGTTTCTGAGTACTGAACACCTTGTATTTCTGGGCACTCCAGGTAGGTTGCAATTCTGGAATATGACAGCACTGGAGGATAATGAGTTCCTGGTAGCTTCACATTTGATTTTACTCAAATCAGTTAATGTGTGTCTTTTTTCCTCAACATGTTTCTTGTGACCCTGTTGACTATTTGCAACAAAATGTTTGATGGTTCTGTGACCACACCCCAATATCTTACCAATTTCAAGAGTGCTGCATCTCTTTGAAATACTGTTTTTAATTTTTGGTTTTTCATAATCAGTTAAATCTCTTTTTTGGCCCATTTTGCCTGAGGAAAAGAAGCTGCCTAATGATTATGCATATAGAGTGATATAGGGTGTTGATCTCCTTAGGTCACACACTCCCTCATTACACAAAAGCACATCATTTGATAAGCTTAATATCCACTAAGCATTCAGGTGTATCACAGTTTGAGGAGGAAAATATCCATAAAAATGATATGTTCAAAATACTTACTTTGGCTAATAATTGTGCGCATAGTATATACATATCTACCTAAATATCTATCTAATATATTTATATAATTATCATGCATTTGTTAACAGCTGTATTTTCTATAAAGGAGTCCCACACTTTATTATACTTATTCAATAGCCATACATTTATTATACTCATTCAATAGCCATACATCTCATAACATGCTTGTCATGATCAGGTCAGTACAAGGAAAACTAGTAATTTGGAGTAAAGGTGCTAATTTTGGCTCATGGCAAGGTAAATCTTTCTTTTCTCAAATATATTGTGTCCAGTTTGTAGGTTAAGCCTCTGTTGGCACCTTTTTAATGGCACAGTAAATCTGGATGAATTGCTTGGTTTATATTGCTCTCTTAAGCATATATTGAAACATGAAAAATAATATATGACCTGTTGGCACAGAGAACAATAGTCGAAGAATCAACAATCAACATTTGAAGGACCAAAATACAAACTATAAGTGCAAAGTATAAACACAATTATAGCAGAATGTAAACTAACAAAATCAGAACACAAGAGGTAGTGCAAAAATAAAGGTATTAGTTTCAGCAATGCCCAGTGCAAATGAAGCTAAGTAAGAGAGAAGACATTATTCATTATTCACAATTCATTTTCAAGTGTATTTGTACAGTGGGAAGTGAGTCAGCTATGTTACTCACACAATGTAAGTGTTGTGTACAGAAGTGTATATTGTTGAGTACTGAAGTAATGTTGGAGAAAATATACTTTTAGTAAATATGAGCGTACCTGAAAAAAAGCAGAAGAATGAGAAAGATACTTAAGATTACTTTGCCTTGATTGTTATAAGTTGTCAGATTTTTAAGTTACTGTTACTGTACAGATAGCAATAGTAATTTAGACTTATATACTGCTTCACAGTGCTTTACAGCCCTCTCTAAGCAGTTTACAGAGTCAGCATATTGCTCCCAACAATCTGGGTTTTCATTTTACCCAACCTCAGAAGGATGGAAGGCTGAGTCAACTTTGAGTCTCTGAGATTTGAACTGTTGATAGCAGTCAGTCAGCAGAAGTAGCTGCAGTGCAGTACTGCATTCTAACCACTGCACCACCACAGATAACCTTGCTTTTTGTCCATTCATTCAGAGATTATTCAAAGATACAATGGCATTGAAAAAATAGATATATGACCCCACAGTCACATGATCAACTTGCAATTATGACATTGCAGGAAAACTCAGTGATGTAATTGCCATTTGTGACTTTCCCTGCTGGTATCCCATGAGCAAGCTCAATAGGGAAACTGGCAGGAAAGCCAGGCTCCTGTAACTCTGCATAACTTGCACCAGCCCTCCCAAGCTCTGCCCCAGATCCTCATGATTCCCCTGTGGCCTGTATCAGCCATCCCAGCATTTCCCTGGCCTTCTGTGACTGGTATGTGACCTGCACCAGTCCTAACAAGTCCTCCCCAAACTACCCCAGCTTCCCATGACAATTTCCCAAACTTTTGCAGTAGCCCTGCACCTCTGAAATTCCTGCATGTTCCCACTTAACAACCCACACGTCTGGAATTACAATGGCAACCAGAACTGCCTGGGATTTCCGTTTCTAAATGATGTGGCTATATAAAGTTGTGCTTTGCAACATCATTTAATGAGGGAAATTCTGATCATAATTGTCATCATAACCTGAGCCTACTGTATATCAGGAAAGTAGAATTTTAATATTTAATATTTCTTATGATACTGTCTTCTGACCTGGCCTCCCTTGAAGGGCTGAAAGTACTGGATCATAAATTAACCACAGACCTATAGAATATATTGAACTACAACCAGCCAGCCACATTCTGGTTACCATGTTGTGTAACCTAACTAGAGTTTAGATCAGATATCTCTAATGTAGGGCTAAAAAAAGTCAAGAATTCAAACAATAACCTGTACACAATCACTAGTTAGTCATCTGCTTCTATTTGACAGTGAACTAGTTAGAGTGGCTGTTTTACAAGCAAGGTTTTTCTTGCTAGACTAGTTGTTTTTGCAATTTTCAACCATTTTTCTTAAGTCGGCCCTACTGTATCTATACCCTTCAGAAGTTTGCTGTCCTGAGGGTTGGTAACATTCATCTTCCGTATCTGAGTCAGGTATTTTCCTTCCTAATGCTTGCCAAGGACACCTCCATTAAGTATTGCTCTATGACCATAGTTTTAGGAATACTTTTCTGCCCAAATTAGGCTGCTATTTTATCATTAGGGTTTCTTCTCACACTTGTTTTTCCCAGAGAATCAATCATATTATCCATATACAGTAGTATAGAATAACTATTTGGTCCTCTATTTTGTTCTGGGTCAGCTATCATAGAGTCACTACTTGTGTCTGAGCTAAAGCTTTATTTGATAGGCAGTCTGCAACAATGGTTTCTTGCTGTACAATGGTTTCTATTGTTGCCCTTCTTATCCTTTGTCTCATTATTTGCAGTTCTGTGTTTTCACAGTTAAAGAGATCAGATCTTGGTTTTCCCATGTCAGTGATTTTGGCCTTGTTTTTTTGCTATAGATTTGTGGATGAGCTTTTGCACACAAATAAAGGTCTTGGCTAGGTTCATAGAACCATATGCCAAAATTTATCATGATTGGTTGCAATCTGCAATACTATAACCAAGCAAACCGCATGTTGATTTTGTATATTTTGTGAAGCCCAGTTTATCTCAGATGTAAAAATAGTGTAGAAAATGCCAAAGGTGCAACTGACATATGATAATCACTAATTACCAGAGAAGTTGTTGTTCTCTAGAACTTGTAATGTGAACCATGCCTTATAACATTAACAAAATGAAATGGAATATGGGTTTCATATACCTATGTCCTGACTTTACTATATACTTCTTCCACAATATAGTTAATCTAGGCCTTAAGGAAACATTATTTCCTCTACAAGGAATTACCTCTTCTCATGTATTCTTTGACTAAAAGTTCCAATTGATTGTGACCTGATATACTAAATGAAAGCAGTTAAAGACGTACTGTTGCAGCAAAATTAGTAATACGGATATACTGTGTAACAATTTAAAACAGCCTGGGTTTTTATTAGTTTATGAAGAATGGAATATTCTTAAACCGTTTATATTACTCTTACAGGGAAAAATGGTATTTCCGCAGATGCTGCATTAAGATTTATTAAGATAGTCTTCAGTTATGAGGAATGGGATTCATTTGATCATGCAATTGTAGCGTTTTTTTCATTTCTTCAGGTAATGAATTTTATTAGTTTTATTCAGTTCTATAATACAATTATAGATCATGTAGTTTCATTATTTAAAAATAATAAGCCCTGTATTCTTATTTCTCTCTATATTAGAATCAAAGCAATCCAGTATGGAAGAAAGCAAAAGCAGAAGTCAAGCTACTACTTGTAATGCAAAATTTATTGACCATAAGAAAAGCAAGACATGGTTTGTGTGTTCAAGGAGATAATATCCGAGAAACAGCTGCTTTTCGTAGTCAAGGGAAAAAATATATAGGGTTTCTAGGTGGGTTACAGATTACCACTAGAGTGATTTGCTAAATTTGATTGATTTAATTAAAACATGGTCTTTCTTACAAATAGAATAGTCCATTATTTGGTATTTCTAAATTCTTAACATTACATTAATATGTTGCAGTAGTGATCTGGTTCCACTACTAGCATATTAGTATTGCATTTTGTTGTAAATTGTGTTAATAGTCTAGAAATGCTGCGGTAATGTCTGCTTTAAACCTTGAACGTGTGAGTTGATGGCACAACAGGATTAGGCTATTACTTTAGTTTTGATCAAACAATTATATTACATTCTATTAAAAAGAAAAAAAATCACAGACTCATATTTTCACACAGAAGATGAAATAAAAAAGATTGGAAGAAAAAGAATATTATTGCTGATGTGTTATACTTTAAATGTGCTGTTATTAAATAAAAAATGAATTCTTATTTAAGTTGGCATTTTCTTAGATATAAATTTATTCCCATTTTGTTAGTTTTATTCAAAAGGAAATATGTGAAATTGAAACTATACTTCATTTTCATAATTTTCATTTTCAACCTAATCCTAACAAACTGAAAATTTGAATTTAACTAATATCTTAATATTTTTTTCTGTTTAAAATAAATTGCAACTGCAGAAGGATCCGTACAACCACCAAAAATTACTGATGATCTTTTTCTGCTGGCAAGGACTCTTTATTCTTCTGTCTGTAAAGCTGAAGAGGTATAGTAAAATCATTGATCTAAAGTATGTGAAATGGAAGTGTTAAATTAATGGGGTGTAAATGTGGTTTATCTCTATGCTTCTGTTGATGCCTGATTTCAGTTACCCCCTAGCATTTTTGTATTCAGTTTGATCTAAAATGTTAACAACTTCTTTGTTGAAACTTTGGTTGAGTTTTTCATGTGCAGTGAGAGTAAGAAGATTTTCATCCACCTCACAGGCATGTTGTGGGGAAAATAGGAGAAGGAAGGAATATTAGATATGTTTGCCACCCCCTTTGCACTGATGATATTACCCCACCTGGTAATGAAACCTTTGTAAGAAAATAACCAGGTTCCAAGAGCACCCCCCCCCCCCCCCCCCCGAAAAAAAAAACAATTAAAAGAAAAGCCAGCAGTTCCACTGTGCGCTATATATATATTCTTTTCTATTGGATTTGTGTTCCTCCTTGATACAAAAGAAAATAGTCCAAGATGAGTAATATTCCTCCCATTTTAACTTCTTTGGGCCACTTAATTCAAAAATATTGGACTTAGACATTTTTCTAATCTGTGGTTTATTTAACTGTGGTTAACTTCAAACCATAATTTATCAATGAAAATGGTTGCCTACTTACATTAAGCAAAATCTAAATGAAGTTGAGCCAAGTGGTACTGGAAGGTATTAATGATTGCACTGGTTAGTCTGTGGATAGGAGACAAGAATACCTGAAAGTGTTTTGATTTTTTTCAATATTTTCTCAGTATGCACTGAGCTGAGTAACTTTGGAAGAAATTGTGAAACCTAATTAGCTTTAAATACCAGTGTATGTCAAGTGCATCTGAAATTAGAAACTAAAATAATTATGTTTAAAGTTGAAAAACACTATATTTTTACAGATATTACAAAATCATAATGTGAATCAACATAATATGGAATACTTCTATTGAAGTATAGTTTTGATTTCTGAAGTTTTTTCACATTTTAAAAGTTGCACATTTTAAATATGTACTTTGTGAGGGATGCAAATATGCAAGTCTTTCGACTGATTGAAGGAATAACAAGGATTGGGCATTTGGAAAAAAATAACTTATCAAATAGAAAAGTATTTGATAACTATTGCTTATCAACAGCTATTTGTTAAGGAGCATTTGAAAAATATTTATCTTTCAGGTTCACCAGCCATCCAGAGAAATGATAATTGATGCAACCATGTTTCTGTGGCAAAAGTGTAAAGTAGGAATTCAAAAGATCCAGATGAGTGGAAGTAACTTCTTAAAATTCATTCATAAATACCAAACACCAAAGGTGATCTTTTATCATAAAGTTTTACTTACAGACTTATAGATCAATATGAAGCTACATACATATAATCAGTTAACTTACTGATTTTGAAGTGGGCATTTGCTTGCTAAACTCTGCCTTGTATAACTAGGATAATTTATGTAAGTAAAGTTTAAGTTCAATTTGCTTCTGATAATGCTATAGGGCAAGGAGACCATATGTAAGCAGCTAAAAGCTGAGCATGTAGAAGACAACATACATAGAAATGCTCCAGTTCAGCTTGATTTAAAGAAGGAGCCCCTTAGGAAGTAGTAATTGGAAGAACTAGAAGAAAGTAGTATAATAAAGATTATTACAGAGAAGAAATTGACAAGGAGGTTTGGGAAATGTTTGTTTTAATCTTAAACAAGATAAATTTAAACAGATAAAGAAGAAAGGAAAGAAATTTAAATCTAATTCACATCAACATTCACTGAACAGTCTTCATATACAGTATTTCTACTTTTGTAAAGAATAGTTGCTTCCATCACATCCATATACCACTTCACATTTGCCTTTTTCTTTTTAAACTTGTCATAAGAAGATCTTAAAAATTTCATCCAACCATAACTTTCTCAGTTTTCCTCTTTCAGCCCGTTTACTCTTCTTTTATATACTTCTTTTACATTTTACTCTTGATTCATATATTCATATGACTAGACCATCTCAATATGTCTCTTTTGTACTGGTGACTTACTTTTGAATTCAGTTTTGTTCAATATTAAACCATTCACTAAACATTCCAAGAATGGAATCAATGAAACCAAGCTTTCGTTCTTCACATTCTTCATTTATAAGTTTCATTGATCTGATACCATAAAAAATTGAGGGGATCCTCAATTTTTTTATTTTATCAGATCAATGAAACTTATAAATTTCATTCCTTTTCCATTAGTAGTTACAAATACATGCTCAAACTGCATTTAAAACCAATTGGTACTTATCACTGAATATTCATTTTTGGTTCTCCAAAGGGCCCAATAATTATCTTACCTTGTCTTTACCTTTCACTTTATGTGATTTTACAGACTAAGTTTGATCAGGTTTAATTAATTCAGAATGTTATATAGTTCTTTTTAAAACTTCTTCATGTTTTTATCATCCATTAGAAGATAGTATGCGAATGACAGCAACCTATGAATTCCTATTTTCATACATAGCCACATCACTCTAAATGACAGTGGTCATAGTTTCTTAAATGCATTTTAGATTTTTCATTTATACTACATTCTCATACTTCAACCATCTTCCATGTATCATGGGCAAGCAAGGGTTTTATATAAGTTTTAGGAAGGAAAAGAAAAAAGTAGATTACCATATCACATTTGGAACTCCTTAGTAGTGATATGATAGATAGTTTTGGCATGGTTTGGTCAGTATATCACAAGTGTGACCAAACTGAGTTTACGCCAGTCATGCTGACATTATTCTCTGAAAGCTAAGTTCAGAGAGACCATTTTGAAATCACCGTATAGTTTATCTCTTACCAATCAAAGAGAACATGCATTGTACTGACGGATGCTTAAAATACAATTTCTTGATAGTTCATTAAATAGTGTCTGTGAAAGCGGTGAATATGTGAACTGAAATTTGGCTAGCTTTAGAAAATTTGAAAAGTTGCCTTGGCTAAGTGGGAACTGGTATGTGTGATTGCACTGATTGCCTGGCCAAAAACTATGGGTAAGCAAAATTGGTATGCATTGTTCATGTCTGTATACAGTATTTCTTGACTTAAAACCACAATTGAGCCCACAAAATTTCCATTGTTAAGCAAGACAGTAGTTAAATGAGTTTTACAACCTTTCTTGCCACAGTTGTTAAGGAATCATTGCAGTTAAGTTAGCTACACAGTAAGTTAATTGGCTTCCAAGTTGATCATATGACTCTGGAACACTGCAACCATAATAAATAAACACATACCAGTTGCCAAGCATCCACATTTTGATTATGTTACTATAGGATGCTGCAACAGTTGTAAGTGCAAAAAATGGTCACAAGTCAGTTTTTAGTTCCTTTGTAATTTTGAACAGTCACTCAATGAATTGTTGTAAGGTGAAGACTAACTGTATTTATTTCCTATTTGTAAATTCTATAATAAATTTCTAACCTTGGGTTTAATTTTGTTTGTTTGCCTAGTGGCTTCACATTCTTTATGTAGTTAATGAAGTAATTCACACCATTAATCTTGGAATCACTAATCCTGTATTAATAGCTGAAGTATCATTAAGGCTAACATCAGTGATGGAAAATATTGCAGACTTCAAATCTGGAGACATACCAGGTACATGGTTTTTACAATTTAGTTGACAACACATATAATGCTATGTAGTCTTATAAAATATTAAAGTCACCCTATTTTATTTAACATATATATGAAGAAGCTAGGAGATGCCATCTGCCAGTATAGGATGAAATGTCATCAGTATGCTAATAATAATACCTTGCAATCTGTTTTTGTCAGTTTTATGTGGTAGACAAGACAGAAAATATAACTAGATGAGCTAATTCTACTGTAAAAGTACATTAACGGAATCTTGCACATTTGAAAGTACCTCCCCCCCCATCTCCTTTATAGCCCAAGAAATTACAGAGGGCCTCTTCTGAGCCTCTTGCCCTGCCCACATTTCTGCTGCAGGCTCAGCACCCTTTTGTCTCACTGTTCCTTGTCCTGTGTCACCTTGTCCTATCTCCCAAGGTCATTCCCATACACCATTACATCATTTTCCTCATCAGACTCCGCGTCCCCTTCTATGTTCACAGGACAAACTGTGGGTTATGAGAAAAGTCTTGTATGCCTGAGGTGGAAGGAGATGGGTCACTTTCCCTTGGTGTATTTTCTCTGAGATGCTTTCTACACCATAGAAGAACATGTCCATTTTGAGCAGTGCTAAACTCTTGCAAGGCTGGTAGTTGCTGAGGATTGGGCTTATTAGAGTATTGGTCATGAAAGTGTTACACAAGTTGTGATGCATCCATGTCTGTTGCTGCTTCCCATGACCTCTTTGCTCTGGATAGTCTTTCCAGTGGACCAAGTTTGCTTCCCTTCCCTTATTTCCCAATAAAATAAGAATAAGCTAGCTGGCTCCTTAAGTGATTTGGATCATTTAAACCAAGTGAGGCAAAGAACATCACTTGCAATTGTGGTATGAAGGAGCTGAAAATGCTACCTGGCAAAGGTGATTCCATTCAAGGCAATTGTCTAAAGTAAGTACATTTTAAAGTTCAAATATGTAGGCATTAGGCTATGTAATATGTCCGTGGTGGCGCAGTAGTTAGAGTGCAGTACTGCAGGCTACTTCTGCTGCCTGCCAGCTGCCTGAAATTTGGCAGTTCAAATCTCATCACGCTCAAGGTTGACTCATCCTTCCATCCTTCCAAGGTTAGTAAAATGAGCACTCAGATTATTGGGGCAATATGCTGATTCTGTAAAATGCTTAGAGAGGGTTGTAATTGTAAAACACTGTAAAGCGGTATATAACAGTGCTATTGCTATCTCAATTACTGAGTTACTCAATTACAAACTGAGAACCAGTTACAGGTATTTTATGAGAGACTACAGGCCTATTATAAATCTTTGTTTTACTTTTCCCTTTCCTGCAGTTTTAGCAGAAGATGATTCTCTGTTTTCAGAATACTACACCAGTAACATTCCTTCATTATTACAGGTATTTTTCCCTTAACTACCATAGATTAATATATGTTGATTGCTTAGAATTTTGAAAACCACTGAAACAACACCAAATGAAAATTGTAATTAAAAAAAGTTTATTCCAAAGAAGAGAAGATAACTAAATACTGGAAAGACTTGCTATGTTTCAGTCCAGAAATAAGAATTTTGGATGTGAAATGTTAGTTTCCTAACTCAAGAAAAATCCAAAGTAGAGACGAATTCCCAGATTATAGACCAACTGATTTTTCCTTTTTAAGAATTTCACTTGCTGAATCAGTAATATCCCACTATTTCAGTGCCTGGGGAAGAGAGATGCTAGAAGTATTTATTCTTTTCATTCTGTGGCATGGCTATTAAGAATATCTTTTGGAACAGCCAAAATTTAAATTGAATTATCTTCTATTAAACAAGAACAAAAGAATCTTTATCTGCTTTGAGCCAATCTAGTTCAATTTTAAATGGTGTAGTATTAGTCATTACCTAGACCCACCTGCATGTCACCGTCTTGGAAGATTTCACCAGCCAGGAGGGACAAGGATCTAATAAGCAGATAGTTGCACTGACAGCTCCAAAGACCCTGCCCACTTCCTCAGTTTCAACAGGGTGAAATGATTTACTGATAATTGGGCATATACATTCCCTTAGGTCTTGGTTGGGGCAGAACCTTAATTTGGCTGGACATATTTTTGAGAGGGGAAGTCCACCCTCTGGTGTCAGTCAGGTCTCTGACTTGTTCTCTCCAGAGAGGTCACAAAAATGGAGGGGCGGGGTCTTTTTGTTAACCAATCTGGCATTCATCAGCAGTAGTTGAAGGCCCAGGCCTTCAAAGGTCCACTGTCCAGGGTTTGGATGTGAGCTCAAAGAACTGGAACATGCCATTGATATTAAATATCAGGGTCATATTTCCCTGCAAGGGCCTGCCTTTTGGCTCCCAAATCATCATGTCTGTCACCACTTGAATTTGTTATCCCGTTCCAAGCCCCAAGAGAATCCCCTGTCTCCTACTCCTTGGCTGGTGTCTCTGGCCCTCACCCAGCCATCCCCATACGTCAATCTAACAATGCAAAGTGTGAGGGGGAAACTCCAGGAGCACTTAAATAATAGCTCTCAAGGCCAGCCAGAGCCCTCACACTCTATATACCTCCTCATTACTCCTTAGTAACTGGTTTCTCCCACTGACCACTTAGGGAGGACCCTCTGTCTCTCATTCTTTTTAAAATGTTATGTGCCCCTGTCCAGAAATAAATTGCGTCATTAAGTCTTTTAAGCATATTGATTTACCTTGAGGTTGTTAACACTGCTTTACTGTAATTTTTAACCGACTCAACTGTATTTAATACAGTATTTGAGATAGCTGCTCAGAATGTAATTCTGTTGCTTAAGAGTTAAAGTTTCACAATTTCTGACATTCAACAACTAGAAATAATAGATATTATTTTATTTCTCTTGGTTTTCTCTGTAGTCTTTAAAACAAAATCTTAGAAGCAAAAATTAATTGCCTTTCTCTCGCTTTTGTCTTCATTAATCAAATGTATGGATATATTTCAGCAACCTCCCCGAGAACAATTATTTTTGGCTTATGAGTATATTGACAGAGCAATTATAGCAATTAATCGAGCTCATGTACTAACAGTTTTACCTGATGGAACATCAGTGTTTGATAATTATTGTAAAAAGGTAAGCTATTCAAAGTAACAGATCTCTGCAGGTTAGCTAAAAACTTAACTGTCACTGGAGCAATCATCCACAGATTACTTATAGTTTTGGGCAGCATAGTCAGAAGAATACTTTTTTCTTAACCTTATCAGAAAGTACACAAGAGAAAACCATGATAAACTGATGAAACACAAATGTATATTTGGAGAAAAAGGGTAAGCACTTGAAGAAACTAATTAAGCATGGTTAGCTCTGTTTCCTTTGTGATTGTGATATGTGATAGCATAGGTCAGGAAATGTATTGCAAGTAGAAGAAGCAATGGATTCAATTATATAGCAACATATCCTACAAGCCAATTTCTCCTAGCCAGTGAAGAAGCTGAAAACAAGTTGGATATTCCAGCAAGACAACAATTTAAAACATAGTTAATCATGGTCATACTAAAAAAAAAAAGGAAAGAAAAGTACTGAAGAGAAACATACAGCATTATTGCAAAAATTAAGATTAAACTTGAAATTGAAACATCAGGATTTTTTTTAATCTAACCCTTCTAATTATTATTGGAACAGTATATTAAAGGAAACATAGAGTATTTAATTATGATGATTAACTTAATAATATTTCTGAGTTAGAAAAGTTTTTTTCTGTTGTCTTTTGTGGAAGTCTCCTCCCCCCCACTTTATGATTTGTTTTTATTTATACTTGTGATTTGGGTTATACTAATTATCACTTTCGCCTTTTAATTGTTTTAATAGAACTAATATTTAATATTCCAAAAGAAAGCTGAATAGCCATTTTGAAAAAAAATGCTTCCTAAAATATATAAAGATGAATTGGCAAATTTTCTTTCAAGCAGATGACTACAGAAGAGCAGGTTGTGAATAAAACTTTATCATCAGATAATGAGAGATCACCAATAGGGAACAATTTTATTATGGATCTACACATTGAACTTATTCAGGCTCAGCACCGAATAGCAATTAAACTACTTAATGCAACTCAAGGTAGGTAAAGTAAGGTGGTATAAGTACTTTTTGGTAATTACATTTCATACTAGAGGACCATTCAATTTTATTATGTATCATAAAGATGAAAATATAACTTTTAAAATGTGTAGTATTTATTTATTATGTCTTTATTATGGATCCAGATTATTTTTATCATGGCACTATTCTCAGTTAATAGTATTTATGTATTTCCAGGATAAAGTTGTAAAAATTATATTTTTCTATCCAGGTAAATTTTTGCTTTGCTTATGCCACATATTACAGACTTGCAAACATGGCCACTGTTGCTTCGTGTTTACAAATCTGAAATTAATTATATTGCCTCTTTTCTTTTATAAAGATGTTTCTATGCTTTTTATAAAATGAATAATGGAGACTCATCACTTTTTTTCTGACTGTATGTAATTAAAATGCCCATCTTGTTCAACTGCAGCCTTTTGTATTCAAACATTATGTGATCCTAAGTTCAAGTAGTTTCTGAACCATTGGTCATTAAGCAAGGATCACTTGTACAACTGTTACTTCTTCTGTGTTTCTATATAATTGTAGACCATATAATATGTACACACACACATTTATGCTTTTTTTTAGATACTCAAAGTGGTGACGAAAATCCAAAGGCCAAGGGTCTTGCAAGGAATGTAAGCCAGTTAAAATGTCTAACAGGTACATACTTGTAAAAATACCCAGCAGAATTAAACTTTATATGAAGAAATTGAATTAACTTTCAAAAATTTGTTTTTACAGAATTGGAGATAATGGAGAAAATAAAAAAGAATAAATTGTCCAAAGCTCTCTACTTGATGCAGAAAGCTACGCTGATGCTTCCAGTAGGATTAGATTGTTCTTCTGCAAATCAGCTTCTGAAAGTATATAAATTATATTGTTAATTTAAGTAAATTTGATGTGTAATTATATTTTTCATTCATGTGATTGTTTATTGGAGCAGTATTTATGAATTGTAGATTCCATACAAACTCAACATTCCTGAAAATTGTCATAGCAATTCTTTTAATAACAGATATTATTTAAGAATTTTCTGTATCAAAAAGTAAGATAGAAATACTTTTAAAAGTAAAATAAAAATAACCTACAAATCTAGGTAAAGGCACAATAATAAAATCCTTTTTATTACTGTAAATGAAAGCTGAATTATTACATTACTATAAAACAGGAATAGTGATTTATAGGCTTGTTCACATAGCATGTTGTAATGAGTAGAAGATAGAATTGGGGGCATTTAAGGGACGGAATTGTGCCTTAAGCTTGTAGGTCTGCAGGTTACCCATTCAGAAATTCTACAAGCCTCTTGCAAGCTAGGCACATTTTGCACTGTGCACTGTTTTCTAATACTTCTAAAAATACAGGCAGAAATTCAGTGATATAAATTGAGCATCATAAATAATTAGAGTATGAAAAGAGAAGGAACCAAACAGTATCTGGAAAGAAAGAACAAGATTTTAGTTCTGGAAAACTGAGTGAACTTCTGCATTTGTTAATAAATTATAAATCTTACAAAAAATAAAACCAAAAGCACAGCAATGGACTGGAAGGTATTGTGTCTTTCAGGAAAGTAAATAACTGATCATTTGAAAAATCATGTAATAATTTTAATACTGTCCACTAAACTGTCCTTGGTTGTAACTGTGATTCTTTTATACTTTGCATATGAAAGAAATTTAAATGAAATAATTACTTTCTTGGGATTTGTATTTAAATTCTAGGAAGCATTTATTCTGATTCAGAAAACTGAAATGGAACAAAATACATTAAATGCCACTTTATTAAATCATACAAATAGCACGAAAAGCAAAGTTCCACCACCTCCAATACTACTTTTTAGGACAAATTGTTCCATGGCATTTAAGCCAGCACCATTTTCTTCAGATGTGAAGGTAATTTTTTTGGGGTGGGGGTGGGGGTGGGGGTGGGGAGAAACACCCTTGTGATTTAATGTATAGTATTTCATCAACTTGTTCTACTCTAGAGAGGAACATATATAATTTTGAATGCTGTATACACATTTGCTAGAATTTTAATATACACTACAAGATCATCATCCAATATTGAAACATTTTATATTTACAATTTACTTATGTTTTTTGTTCTCATTAAGTATTAAAAAAGCAACATTATTGTTCACATACTGCATGTTGCTATTTTTGCACATTTTTAAATAAAAAACCCAAAATATAAACCAAGTGCCACTAGATGGTAGAATATAATCATTTTTCAATGTTCTTTCAACAGGATTTTTAAAATACATACATATTGTGAAAATGCAGCAATTTTTGGGAAATAAAATAGATGTTAACTGGAGTTGTAAAGTATTAAAGCATAAAAATAATATTTTGCTGGTCCAATTTGTCTTGAAAAAATTATTATAATTATAAGGAGTGTGTGGTTTTGGACAATTACTGGTATTTCAAACGGCATAGCTTTACATTTAAGCTTAAGTATCCGAACTAACTCACTTCAAAAGAGTGAGAAGTACAGCTCAGCACCTGGCAAGGAGGGTAGCTGCTCTCCAAGTTCTATGCTGCGCCATTAGTCCAAGTCCTGCCAGTTTGTTGCCTGAGCAGAGAGCATGGAAAATCTGCAATGGTGGCAAAGGAAGAAGTTTCCAGACCTAAATATTGTAATATTTCTGAGGGGTGAAGGTAGGGGTAGAGCCACCTCATAGCCTGTCTTGTAGTCACAGAGCCATTGTTCACTTTACTGTTTGCTCAGGAATTGTTAAACTACTGCTCAGATACTATCAGGCTGTGTGTGAATAAGGCAAGAGCCACATAGAATGAGCTGGAAGATCACGTATGACCATGAGCTATGAGTTTGAAACCATAAATTAGACAGAATTTTAGCTGTAGAACTAACAATACTTGTGTATTTGTTTTTGTGTTTTAAGGTTTTTTGGTACAGCATTTTTGGGTGTGTAGCAGAAGGAAGCAATCCAAAAGCTCGGTTAAATAATTATAGTCTCAAGAACACAGCAGAAGCGGTAATGTCTTTCATAACGATGAAGGTGTTTGAATGAGTTTTCTTCAAAGCTATTGCTAGGCATGAGCAGTGGTTTGAGAACCTTAAAAAAATCATGTGATGTGAAAATGGACTTTTCATTTTATATAAATGAAGCCACCTTAAATTCATTTTCTTCTCATTTAGTGACTAGTTCCATTTTCAATTTTGGTTGTAAATTGAGGACTAATTGTGTAATGTCAGCTTAATTATATAATAATTGAGAATAAAAAAATTAAAATGGGGTATGCCCATCTGGAGTATGGATGTTAACTTCATTTTAGTTTTAAAACATTTGAGAGTGGGGTTGTTTTGAGGCTTTTGTCAGAGGAATAGCATAAAGCATAATAAATATAACACTTTGGTATTAACATTATTTTGATATTAATTGTCATGATTTTTCTTTTTATCTTAACGAATACATTTTTTATTATCAGATACCAGCTGATGAAACTTGTGTCTTAGAAGTACAAGATTTAGAGGCCAATCAAAATTATGTATTTGCAGTTGCAGCCTATGATTCAGATGGAAAAATTATCGGTGATAGCATTGGAGAAACAACTAAACCAATTCTTGCCTATCCTCCTCTATCTGTTGCTATTGTCCGAACATATCTGATTCAGGTAGCATATAATACTTTTGCTTTGATAACTCCAATTCTTTTGTAATCTGACTCTCAATTTCAGGATACATATCCTCTAAAAACAAGATTCCCCCCCCCCCGTAAAATATTTCTAAATCTTTTTTTGGCAGTAATTCAGTTAAGGAAAGAATGCTATTTGTTTTAGTATGTTTGTGATTCTAATTTAATACAAATATAGTATTTTTAATATTTTAAGATATTGTTTTTATATAAAGTACAATTTTGTTTGCATTATGCTGAATTGAAATTACCCATCCTTCAAAAATTTATAGGAAAAATTCTCAGCAGCCAATTCTGCTGAACCTTCTTTACATTGCTTTATATCTTTCACTATATTCTTCCCTCCTGGCTAGATATTTAGCTTGTGAGATATCCCTACCATCCCTGATTTATTCAAGTTTACAGTAATCTAGGATTTGGGACTTCATTTCATTTAATTCATTTAATTAATGAGTATTCCAAGCTCTGTCAAGGACCTTGGAATAGTCATCTCTAATGATCGAAATGCTAGAGCCCACTGTAACTACATAGCCAAAAAGGCATTAAGAGTTGTTAACCTAATCCCATGTAGCTTTTTCTCTGGTAATATCACACTACTAACTAGAGCATACAAAACATTTGCTAGACTAATACTCAAATACAGCTCATCAGTCTGGAACCCACATTACGTATCTGATATTAGCACAGTTGAGAAAGTCCAGAAATATTTCACAAGAAGAGTTCTCCACTCCTCTACTTGTTGTAGAATATCTTATGCCACCAGACTTGAAATTCTAGACTTAGAAAACATTGAATTATGCCATCTTCGATCTGATCTAAGTATGGTATATAAAATCATACATTGCAATGACTTACCTGTCAATGAATACTTCAGCTTCAACCATAACAACACAAGAGCACACAATAGATACAAACTCAAGGTTAACCGCACCAAACTTGATTGCAGGAAATACGACTTCAGCAACAGAATGGTCAATGTCTGGAATATTCTACCTGACTCTGTGGTTTCTTCCCCAAATCCCAAAAACTTTAACCTTAGACTGTCTACTATTGACCTCACCCCTTTCCTAAGAGGTCTGTAGAGGGCATGCATAAACGCACCAAGATGCCTACTGTCCCTATCCTATTGTTTCTTTTATTTTTCTTATATGTACCTATTTCATGTATTCATAACTATGTATATACTTATACCTATTATCTTGTAAGCGATTAACAAATCAAATAAATAAATAAAATAAATAAATTCCATTACTGTATCTTGCTCCATTCCAACTGTCCATCTTGCTACCTTATATCACTAGAATTCCTGTTTTGTTTTAAGGAACCTTCTACAATGTGTTTGGTTTAGTTTGTATAAAACTAATGTGATTTTCATTTTATTGATGTTTTCATCAACTTTACTGATTATACAGTATATGATAATTTCAAATAAGCATAGAAAAGGTGTTTCAAAAAATAACTATATTTTTAGTCTGCTTTTCAGATTGAAAACTATGCATTATGCAAAAAAACATTTCAACCACTCTGGGATTGTTTTGTCTCAGTGCCCTGTACTCCTGTTACTGATGTCACTATAGTTTCTGTAAGCAGCACTTTGTCTGTACCGCAGAACAGGTAACTAACAACTGTTTTTCAAATTATTCAGTTAATATGATTATTTTGATAGTGAATACTGTTTCACTTTTAAATAGTTTGACAAATGTTTCTAAATACCGAGAAGCAATTGTTGAAACATAGGGTCTTAAAACAATCATATTTTAATAATAACAGCTTTCTTCAGTAGTTACGTTTTGAACAATGTACTTTTTTGGATATACTGTTCCTCTAAAACAAGTACATTAAGACTAGTAAAACTAATCAAAGTTACATAGGTAAACCATGTGCTGTCATTATTTCACAACTTGCAGTATAGTAATATATACCACATGTAATATGACAATATTGATCAATGATAGTTGCATAGGTAGCAGCCATCATCATCATTTCATCGTCATCATCATCATCATCATCATCATCATCATCATCATCATCATCATCATCTTTTACAATGGCAATGTTACATTGCAAAGAAATGTGTACTAGTGCAATATGTTAGTGATTAGGTTGCCATCCAGAAGATTTGCCAGTTATAATAGAGTTAGAATTGTCTTTCATTTTAACTTATTACAGCCAGTTAACTCTGTCGGTTTTAGTCATTAATCTGCTATTATTACCATTTTTATGCTATCTATTTATTGCTTCCTTTCTTCCTCCATCAATCCATTCAATTTCCATAGCTGCCCAACTCAACCAAGTGACTCTGGGCAGTTTACAGTTCTAAAATTATAAAACAATTTAAATAATTTAAAAAGGATTAAAACAATAACAATATCCACAAAATAAATGATATGTTTTTATTTGTTGATTTTCTTCTTTTTGTAGGCTAAATTCTGAAGCCCTGCTACAGGCATCTCCAAACCTCTTATATATGTTTCTGAGAAGTATTTTTATCATGAGTGACATTAGTGTCAATGAAGGATGTCTCTTCTGTGATTCTATTTGTTTCAATGAGCTTAAGTATAAAAGACAAGTATGTGCTATGCAACATTAGTATTTTTGATGTGATCTTATTTTTCTTGCTCTTAATATTCTTACCACAAGTAAAATTCATCTACAGAATTATATATTAGGTAGAAGGCAAATATCTTGCAATTCACATTTAACTTTCCATTATTGAAAGGATACCTTAATGAAAAATACTATGTTTTAATACTGTTTTAGAGACATAATTTTGAGCTTTGAAGCCATGAAGTTGCTAAGTTTGTACTTTCTTAGCCCTGCCCAAAAGGTTTTCAGTGATTCTATATGTTTATGACTATGATCAGAAGTGAGCCAGCTTATTTTTATGCGTTCTGTGAAACTGAATGTAGAGGAGGATGGAGCTAATCTTCAAGAAAGAATGCAAGACTGGTTAAATAAAATAGACTGGTTAAATAAAATATCTACTTAGCCATGGTGAGGAAGAGGGTGCTTCTTCCTTAGAAATCTAAGCCTATTCTGATTCTCTGGGGCACACAGGGAAGTTGTCAGGTTTTCAAGATTTTACAGGTAGTCCTCAACTTATGACTACCTCTGAGCCCAAAAATTTATGTTGTTAAGTGAACAATTTGTTAAGTAAATTTGTCCCATTTAATGACTTTTTTGGCACATTTGTTAAGTCAATCGCTGCAGTTGTTAAATTAGTAACATGGTTGTTAAAAGAATCTGGGTTCTCCATTGATTTTGCTTGTCAGAAGGTCATAAAGTGACTCCTGAACACTGCAATGGTCATTAATATGAGTCAGTTGTAAATCATGTGACCATTGGCTCACGGTCATAAGTGTGAAAACTAGTCAAAGTCACTATTTTCAGTTCCGGTGTAACTTCAAACAGTCACTAAATGAAGCCAAAGATTACCTGTATTATACTCTACAACAAGGGTATCAAACTCACGTTGTCACAGGAGCGTCACATGATGTATCGGACTTTTTCCCCCTTCGCTAAACCAGGCGTGCGTGTGTCCTGCGGGCTGGGAGTTTGATAGCCCTTATAGGCATGATGCCTACCTGTACCTATTGCATGGATGCAGAAATACCACTGTAAAAGCGAAATTCTTATTAGATAGGCTTTACTTTATATTCAGTGCAGATTTTTTAATGGTACTGTTCTTATACATGAACACATGCAAATTAGTTGTGGGTTAGCTTTCTTATAATTGAATGAACAGATCTGCATAACATACCATTCAGTTTTTGCCTTATGTACTCACTTTTCCAGTAAGCATTTCCCTATTGGACAGATTATATTCTAGGTTTTCTAAGCCCTAATTGTAGGGGTGTGTAGCCACTTCAGATTTAAAGCAAATGAATTCAGAATGTCCAATTTTGTAAAATGTATGTTTTTAAATCATTTTGGAAGCATTTTGAATTCAAAACAACTCTTGTTTTGAATGTCAAACACTCTTTCTTTATGCTTAAAGGACTTCCAAAATAATCGAGACTACTGATTTTGTACTGAAAACAGGTGTTTGAACTTGTAACATAATATTTTCAAATGTGAAATTCTTTGAACTAAGAATGAATTGCATATCATTAATTACTTGCATTATCACCTCAGTAAATGAAATTGTTTGAACCTGCAAAGAGCTTTAATTCTAGTTTCCCTGATAACCGAAAACGGTATCAACAGGATATCAACAGGAAGGTAAAAAATTGAAGCTCCCCCCTTTTTATGACACACCTAAAAAAAGATGGTTTTCAATTGTATAGTCATGGCTACTCTTTTGACATTTTTGATCGTTTCTGTGGGCATCTCTGTCTCAAAACAATAATTTGGAGGGGGGAGGAGGAAAAAAGGTGATGAAACATTCAAATTCATTCCTGCCTTTACACTACTTATACCCTAAATTTAGTGACTAATATAATAGGGATGTAGTATGAATTTATTTGGTTAAATAACCACCTGCAATTTTTTAAAAAAGACCGACCATTTATTTTTATTCAACTCTTTTCTTTATTTTTAAAAACAGCTTTATCTAATATATTAGGGTATACATGTATTGAGTTTAGAATTGCATCATAATAGTTGAAGAGCTGGCATCTGAGTGATAATTGTGTTCTGATCTGCAAACTATTATGTTATTTTTATATTTAAATGTTTGCCTATTTCATGGAAAAAATGTAGGGGCAGAAGTAACAGACAAGGAAGTAACAGGCAACAGAGAGAAAGCAGAACTACTTAACTCATTCTTTGCATCTGTCTTCACGCAAAAAGAAACTATAGCTCAACCCACCAAAAACATAACTGTAAAAGATAGACCAGAAATAAAAGTTAAAATAAGCAAAAAAATAGTAAGAGAACACCTGTCTGATCTTGATGAAAACAAATCACCGGGGCCTGATGGATTACATCCCAGAGTTTTAAAAGAGCTGGCAGAGGTCATCTCAGAACCACTGCACCATATCTTTCGTTAATCCTGGAGCACCGGGGAACTACCAGAGGACTGGAAAAGAGCTGATGTGGTTCCCATCTTCAAAAAAGGGAAAAAAAACAGACCCAGGAAACTATAGACCAATCAGCCTAACATCAATACCCAGGAAGATACTGGAAAAGATAATAAAAAAAACAGATCTGCCAACATCTAGAAACAAGTAAAGTAATAATTGGCAGTCAGCACAGGTTTGTTAAAAACAGATCATGCCAAACCAATCTTATTTCATTCTTCAACACAGTGACTAAATTAGTAGACCAGCAAAATACCGTGGACATAATATATTTAGATTTCAGCAAGGCATTTGATAAAGTAGACCACAACCTACTTCTTAGTAAGATAGAAAAAAGTGGAATAGATAGCACCACCACTAGATGGATTCGCAACTGGCTGGCAAACTGTACTCAATGAGTAGTCCTTAATGGGTCTAAGTCTACATGAAGTAAGCAGTGGGGTGCCACAAAGTTCCGTCTTAGGCCCAGTACTCTTCAATATCTTCATTAATGACTTAGATGAGGGAATAGAAGGGGAACTTACCAAATTTGCAGATGATACTAAGCTGGCACGAGTAGCTAACACCCAAGAAGATAGGCTCAAGATCCAGATGGATCTTGACAGACTAGAACACTGGGCCATATCTAATAAAATGAAATTCAATGTAGAGAAAAGTAAAGTCCTACACTGAGGCAAGAAATACCAAAAGTACACATGTAGACTGGGTGAAACCAGGCTCAATAGCAGTAACTGTGACAGGGATCTTGGAGTCTTAGTGGACAACCAGCTAAATATGAACCAGCAGTGTGCAGTAGCAGCCAAAAAAGTTAATGCAATCCTAAGTTGTATTAACAGGGATACAATCAGGATCAAGGGAGGTACTAATACCACTCTATAAAGCCTTAGTAAGACCACAACTAGAGTACTGCATCCAGTTTTATTCACCACATTATAAAAAAGATGTTGAGACTCTAGAAAAAGTACAGAGAAGAGCAACCAGGATGATTAGGGGACTGGAGACTAAAACATACAACGAACGGTTGGGCTTGGCTAGTCTAGTAAAGAGAAGGACCAGGGGAGACATGATAGCGGTCTTCCAATATTTGAGGGGCTGCCACAGGGAGGAAGGGGTCAAGCTACAAAGAATAATGGATGGAAACTGAACAAGGAGAGATTTAACCTGGAAACAAGGAGAAACTTTCTGACAGTGAGAACAATCAACCATTGGAACAGCTTGCCCTTGGAAGTTGTGGGAGCGCCATCAGTTGAGACTTTCAAGAAGAGATTGGACTGGCATTTGTCAGAAATGGTGTAGGGTCTCCTGCTTGGGTGGGGGGTTGGACTAGATGACCTACAAGAACCCTTTCCAACTCTGATTATCTGCATCTAACGTAAAATGATGGTATTTCCTTTCACTCATTCATTAGTCATTGTGCAACTTTGTATTACAACTTTCCAAAGTGCAGTTTTGTTGTGAAAGTGCATTTTAATCAGCTGCTACAATAAAAGCTGCATTTTAAAATGTTATAAAATCCACCAGAAGTATATAAAAATGAGGGGCCCAAAAGATGCTGCTTCAGATGGCAAAAGTATTTTTCATATTTCTGTTTTGTAACAATGAAAATTTTGAAAATTTTCTTTCTAGGTTGCTAGAATAGATGAATGTGGGCGAATGCTGGTGGCAGTTGAACTTAGTAACTGGCTAAATGATGTTCACTATGCCCTTCAGTCAGTTGTTAATTGTTACGGCCTTATAGCTCCCCTGATCTATCACAAGATTCCCTCTAAACCTGTCATTCAGGTAAGAATTTTTCGTAAAGTACAAGTTTGTATGATGTTTAGTTCAATACACTAAAAACAGTGTAAGAGTAAAATACTTGACTCAAATTGTTGAAAAAGTACATTGTTTCTGCGTCAAAACCAAGCAAGAACTAAGACTTACCAAAATATGGGAACTTGGTATGACTAGAACATTTCTGAGAGGGGCAATCATTTTTGTCTTTCCTGGAGCCATTACTAACAGTGGAAAAGACTAATTGTTTTTATTTTAAGGACTTGGAGAAACAGATTTTGAGTTCATTTTTTGTATTGCTTGGATTATAAAAACATAATGCTGAAGTATAAATACAATATATAAAAGAAACAGAAAGGAATGATGATAGTAATAAATTACAAAATTGAAACTTGCCATTTTTGTCCATTTGGTGGAACAGTCCTAGGGAAGGGACACAGTTCCAAAACTGTGCCTGGGAAGCCACAAAAATAGAATTAGATTCTATTAATTATGAGGACTATTGTAAGACTGCATTGAAGGCCTGGAGGTAATATATGTTGGGGACCATATTGATTCAAAGAAAGCTGCATAAAGATCTGACAAAGTAGTCTTTTTTACTAAGCATAGCAGAATATGCAAGATTTTCAGTGAATAAGTCATCACACAAAATGAATAGATACTGGAGCATGCTAACATTTTTAATAGGTTACATTTTTAATAGGAAATTAAAGCAACATTAATTACATAAGTTTATTTTTTTATTGAATGATAAAAGTTTAAATGCTTACTTTTACAGCACAAAGGTTCATTTTTAGTTATTCGTACATGTAATATTCTATAATGGTACACATTTGTTACTATATTTTCAGATCATTATTAAGTATCTCAAGGTTCTTCAAGAAATTCCGACTATAATATTCCAAAGAAAATCAACAGGATGCTTTGATAGTATTCAGCACATGATTGCTTGTTCTTGCTATTTTACAGCAAAGGTATTTAGAATGTTATATTATTTACATAATTTAAAATATTTGAACTTTGTAATTAGAGTATATGAACAATAAAATGATGTGTTCTTCAACTTTGGGCAATTATAAGAACATGTCCTTGTTTTCTTTGCAGCACTATGGAAATGGTTTGCTATTGCCTTCCAGGAGATGATAGATAGATAGATAGATAGATAGATAGATAGATAGATAGATAGAT